TATTTATTTATTTATTTTGAGACGGAGTCTTGCTCTGTCGCCCAGGCTGGAGTGCAGTGGCGCAGTCTCGGCTCACTGTAACCTCCACCTCCTGGGTTCAAACAATTCTCCTGCCTCAGCCTCTTGAGTAGCTGGGACCATGCCTGGCTAATTTTTTGTATTTTTAGTAGAGATGGGGTTTTACCGTGTTAGCCAGGATGGTCTCGATCTCCTGACCTCATGATCCACCTGCCTCGGCCTCCCAAAGTGTTGGGATTTCAGGCGTGAGCCACCGCACCCGACCGAGGAACACATTTTTTAAGCCAGGCTAGCCAAGCAAAGGGGAACAAAAGCATGGGTTTAAAACGTTTGAAGTAGGCAAAGTTGTTGGTGTTATCAAGGAACTGCAGGAAGACCAGTATACATAAAATATTATGATCAAGGTGAGCAAGAGTAATAGCTAATTTGCTAGTGCATTTGAGAGTGCAGAGCCCATTTTAAGGATTCTAGATTTTATCTTGTGACTATGAAATGCCATGAAAGGCTTTAAGCAAGGGAAGTGATATGATCTATGTTTCCAGAAAATGAGTTTGACTGTTTAAGGAATTTAAAATATGATACATTTTAGTTCTTTTCCATATTGGTAGTTGACTATTATTAAAACTTTAAAATCTCAGAATTCAGGATGTACTTAGGTAGTAGTAACTTGATTTTGATACGTATTTTTCAGAAAGCCTTGCAGGACAGAAAAAGAGAGCAAAAAGAAATGCTTTCTGGGGCCAAATGACATTTTTTTCTTTGGTTAAAATGTCTTCACTTCCTGTGAAACACCTTTACAAAATTACTTATGTTCCATTATTTGGACTAAGTAGCTGAATAAACAGTCATGAGGGTACACACTCAGGCAGCTTATACATTGGGTGCACAGACTACATTCATCGTTGCAACTCCACAAATGTGAATTCTTTATTATAGCTATTATATATGAAGTGCATTTATTTCTAAGAGAATGCCTACTGATCTTGCCCCTCCCCCCATTTTTTCATATTAAAGGCTTTTTTTTTTAACCTGTGTATCAACAATGATGTTGTGCTAATATTGAAAAGTTACGCCTTTAAAGACAAAGCACCTTGCAGTCAAATAACGGGAGAGAAAGTGGCATTGCTTCTAATGCCTCTTTTATTTATTTCTCTTCAAAATATTCCTGTGGCCTTGGTGTTTATGGATCTAGCATTCTAACAAAGAAAATGCATGAACTTCAATGTACACTATTAATTTTCTTTTGTTAGCATTTAGCTAACAAAGAGACCCATTTTGAGATTACTACAGGTTTAAATGCCCCATTTTACTTTCCTTTCAATGACATTTAGCTTTTTCTGGTTTTGTTTTTGGATATATTGCTTTTAAGGGTTTTATATTGAGGGGACTTAAACATTTTTTTTCTTATTACTTCTTTTAATCAAATATGGAACTTCACTTGGCTATTGGCGAGTTTTCTACCAAATCAGAAAGAATCTGTAGAGTACACAGTTGGTTAATTGAGATTGATGGGGCTCTTTTTCCTTCATCTAGATTGGGGCAGACAAAAAGGCAAACAAGGAAAGTAGTCAGGTATCAGAAGAGTTAATTAGGTTTCTGGCAGACCTCTGTTGTTTATTTCTGGAGCAGTGTATCTTTTGGCTATTGTTAGAACCTTATTACACTTAGGAAATTTATGTATGCCTTGAATTTAGATTGTTATTTTAAAAATCACTTCATATTTTGTGTTTTAGATTTTCCACGAGTGCTCTGATGTTAAATATTCTTTGTCTGTCTTTTCACATATTTCTCAATCAGAAAAATGCCCTTTCTCATTATTTGATTCTTGGTTCATGTACTACCTGGCCCTAGTCAGGTTACCTAAACATTTCTGAATTACCATTGTCTATAGCCCACATTAGCCTTTAATTTAAAAAAAAGTGTCATGTTATTTATTTATGTGCTGTTAAGATAGGTGACCAGAGTGCTATCTTTTAGTTTTCTTCATTTAGAAATCTATAGATTTGACTTTTTTTGGGAAATGGTTCTTGAATTGATGATAGAGGTGGTGACAAGAAGTGAGGATTAGCAGTGCTAATAACATAATGAAGGAAGAGAGGTAGAAAGAAAGATTCTGTCTTCTATAAGGAACTTAAATTAACGAGCAAAAAGCAATCTAGTTAAAAAGAGGGCAAAGGACATGAACAGACTCTTTTCAAAAGAAGATACATACGTGGCCAACAAGCATACAAAAAAATTCTCATAATCAGTAATCACTAGAGAGATACAAATCGAAACCACAATGAGATACCACCTGATAATAGTCAGAGTGGCTATTATTGATAAGTCAAAAATTAACAGATGCTGGCAAGGTTGTGGAGGAAAAGAAATGTTTATACATTGTTGGTAGTAGTGTAAATTCGTTCAGTCATTGTGGAAAACAGTGTGGCGATTTCTCAAAGAACTTAAACCAGAAGTAACTCTGGACCCAGCAGTCCCATTATTGAATATGTACCTGAAGGAATGTAAATTGTTCTGTCATAAAGACACATGCACACGTGTGTTCATTGCAGCACTGTTCTCAATCGTAAAGACGTGGAATCAACATAAATGCCCATCAGTGGTAGACTAGATAAAGAAAATGTGGTACATATGTACACTATGTAATATTACACAGCTCTGTAAAAGAATGAGATCATATCCTTTGCAGCAACATGGAGCTAGACACCATTATCCTAAGCAAACTCCCACAGGAACAGAAAATCAAATACTGTGTGTTCTCACAAGTAGGAGCTAAATATTGAGAACATACAGACATAAAGAAGGGAACAACAGACACTGAGACCTGCTTGAGGCTAGAAGGTGGGAGAAGGATGAGGATAAAAAAACTACTTATGGAATACTAGGTTTATTACCTGGGTGTCCAAATAATCTGTACACCAAACCGTGGCAACATGTAATTTACCTGTATCACAAACCCATACAGGTACCCTTGAACTTAAAGTAAAAGTTAAAGAAAAGGATAATCTGCTTCTGACCAGAAATGGCCTGTGGATGAATGTTTGCTGTGTGTGCTGTCGTAAGGAGGTTCTGGGACTCTAAACTGAGAATCACTTATCCACAACTTTCTTTGTTTTTTTTTTTCATAGCAGAACAACTTAATATGCACAGCTTTATCTCCTCCCTCCCTCCCTGCAATATATGAAGTAATATATAACCAATAATTGGTTAATTTTCTTAGCTGTAATAGAATTTTATGAGAATAAATATATTGCTAAAGCACACATTCCCTGGCCTGCAAATTTTTGATACAAAAGAACTAGCTCATCTCTCAGCTTTTGTTCATTAATTGAGCAATCAGTAATACTTTTCTAGCTACATAGCATATCATATATTTTCTTCAAATAGTTTTGGCTTTATGAGTCTGTAAGTTTTGTATGTGATGTGGGAAGGTTGGTTCATGTGAATATTGGAGAACAGAGAAGATTGATAGCCTTGGAATTCAGATTGTAGGGCAGGTTTGGATATTTGACTTAATGAGAGGAAATTAACATTACTCTTGATGTCAAGATAAAGAGATTGTACAGATTTAAGCTACACTTTAGCTCAGTTCCTTTCTTTAGACTACAGTGCAAATAACACATAATCTAGTTTCTTTGTTTTTGAGAATGACTTCTACTTGAATGGGAATAGAGAAAGCTTGTTGTATAGAATTCTTTTCAACAAGATGCCTTTTTCACCCTACCATGGAGGAAATATGGAAATAGCTTTATCAGAATGCCTTTTTATAGTGGATATTTTGTATAGGTATTTAGAATTTTATGCTATTATGTATTTTTATTAAAATCATGGTGGATCTTAGAAGTTTATTTTAGAATGTGTTAGAATTTTGAAATTTTAATAGCTTAAATGTGTAAAATCCAGTTAATAAAATACAGCTTCTGAAAACCTGTTGTATCCTTGTCATTGTGCGTACAGAGATTATTTTATGTATAGTGGTTTGGTTTACTGTATTAATTAATAGCTGGTATTTCCAAGTACTGAATATGATTCTTTTAAAGGCCATCCAACAAAGACAGAAATAAGGAATTGAACTTAACTGAGGAGCAAGTCATTATTAGGTGTATTAGTTTGCTAGGGCTGTCATAATAAAATACCACAGATTGGGTGGTTTAAACAACACAAATTTATTTTTTAACAATTCTGGAAGCTTGAAGTTCAATATCAAGTTTGTCAGGGTTGGTTTCTCCTGAGGCCTTTCTCCTTGGCCTGTTGTAGGGGGCCGTCCTCTTGTTGCCCCTTCTGACATGATCATATCTCTGTGCAGGCATACTTCTGGTGTCTCTTCCTATAAGGACACCAGACTTATTGGATTAGGTCCCCACCCTAATGGCCTCATTTGAACTTAATCGCCTCTTTGAAGACCTTATCTCTAAATAGCATTACAGTCTGTGCTATGGGGGATTGGTTCTTCAACATGTGAATTTTGGAGGGGAACACAGTTCAGCCATTAACAGTTGGTAATTAAGAAGGAAAACAAGTGGTTTGTAAGAATTGCTTTTTTCTCTTTTATTTAATAAGGTTTGTGTAGAAGTGCAATTGTTCCGTGTTTTTTGTTGTGTATCTCCTAGCCGGAGAATTTTCATCCTTGGGCCTTCTCATCATGTGCCCCTCTCTCGATGTGCACTTTCCAGTGTGGATATATATAGGACACCACTGTATGACCTTCGTATTGACCAAAAGAGTAAGTATATAGAAATAGCTTTCAAATAGCTAATGTTCTTTTAATAGGACTTGGAAGTGAATTTAAAAACTTATAAATGTGAGCATCACAAGTAATATCTCAATATTTAAAATAAAATTTGTTATAACTAATCTGCATAAAACAGCAAAAAAAGAAACTCTTCCATATCCCTAAAAGGCAACTAGTGTTTTTCAGCTAGCTACAGAAATCTGTCAGATCCGCCAGTGTGCAGATTGTAGTGGTTACATTAATATTCAGAAAAATGCCATGTACTCAGTGTACCAGGAGACAAAAAATTAGTACCCATACCAATTTCATGAAAGATTCTGGGCGTGTTAATCTACTTCTACGTAATGCCACTTTCTCACTGTAAATAGATAATGCTGATAATATCTTTATTTTCTTGTAAATGATTTTCATGGGAAAAAATGAGCCTTTATGAAACTCTGAAAGAAACATGCTATATAAATGATAAATATATTTTATTTTTAAACATGCCTACAATTAAGATTGATTTATATTTTTCCATAGGAGTCCAGAGTCACATTTTTATTTAGTTGTTCTTACACAATAGATGTATAAAGTAAAAACCTTTTGATTTTATAAAGGTATTTTTTTGGGGGAGGAGGAGTAATTTTAAAAATACAGAACAGTATAAAGAGTAGTATAAGAAATTAACTGATGTACTTAACATCCATAATTTATTCAGAGTTTCTTGCTCATCCTGAACCCAATTTACCTTCCCAGAAGTAACCACCTTCATAATCTGGGTATATATCCTTTCAGTTGGTCAAATTATTCACACACATGCACGCACGCACACACATATATATGTACACACACACACACTGACCCATATATATTTATTTTTGATTTTAGAGATGGGATCTCACTCTGTTGCCCAGGCTGTAGTGCAGTGGCATGATTATAGTTCACTGCAGCCTCAAACTCCTGGGCTCAAGTGATCCTCCTACTCAGCCTCCCAAGTAGCTAGAACTACAGGCACACATCACCACACCCAATTTATTTAAAAAATTTTTTTTGTAGAGGTAGGGTCTTGCTATGTTGCCCAGGCTGATCTTGAACTCCTGGTCTCAAGCAATTCTCCTGTCTTGGCCTCCCAAAGTGCTGGGTTTATAGGTGTGAGCCACTGTTCCTGGCCTCAAATTATGTTTTTAAGCATGTTAGGGGTGCTATTGTTTCAAAAAATTTTGCAAAAATTTCTTGTATAGAATAAAAGAGTCAAAGCCTAGTGTGGTGGTTCATGTCTGAAATCCCAGCACTTTGGGAGGCTGAGATGGGCAGACTGCTTGAGCTCAGGAGTTTGAGACCAGTCTGGGCAATGTGGCAAAACCCCGTCTGTACAAAAAAATACAAAAATCTGCTGGGCGTGGTGGCACATGGCTGTAGTCTCAGCCACCTGGTTGGGAGAGGGCGTGGGGCAGTGAGGTAGGAGGATGGCTTGAGCTCAGGAGGTAGAGGTTGCACTGAGCTGAAATCATGTTGCTGTATTCCAGCCTGGCCTGGGTGACAGAGTGAAGCCCTGTTTCCAAAATTAAATAAATTAATATGAAAATAAATAAAATAATAAAAGAGTCCATTTGCAAGAAAAAATTCTTTTTTCTTGTTTTTGGCATAAGTTTTCATAATTTGGGGCTTTAGGTATCATAGAATATTAGCAATTTGTTAGTGCATCTTATTAATGAAACGACTATTTCTAACCTTACTTCCTGAGATGTTTTAGGGAACACATTTTACTTTTAAAACCTTGTTGGGGCATTCAGAAAATTTTAATTTTGGTTAGCTTGCCAGTGAAGAAATGGAGAATTTTTTCAAGAAAAGAGGTCATACAACCATTTCTTTCTGTCTTTGGTATAGGTAAACCCATTTGAGGATTTGTTCTATTCTATGCTAAAAATATTATTATATATATTTTTTACACATTAACTTTTATCTTTTTCTTGTTCTACAATATTCAGTTTTAAGTATAGTTCATCAGAAGGGCCTGAATTACTAGTCTTTTTAAGTTGGGATGGTATTGTGGCAAATTTATATTTTGATCTATCTTACAAGCTTAATTTTGAATTTTCAGGAAAATAGCATTAGTGAGAATTTTCTCTTCGTGGTATGGCGGAAACCTGAGGTGTGAAATAATACCACACGTTTTATTAAAAAAACTCAGAAACTATGCGTTTGACCTCATGAGTTAAATAGACCAATGGTTTTTCCATATTTCGGTAGGAATTCTAATTATGTTCTTGCTAGCATGTACTGATTAAAGCCAAGGAAAAGCCTAGACCCAAAGGTGATTTTAGAAGTAATGAAAGGAACTGATGAAGAGTTTAAATGATCATTTTTTATTTAACTATGTAACATATGCAAATAATGAGTAAGTCTTTACATGTATTACTGTTTTACCTGTTACATAAAAACTAGTTCTGTTTTTTTCTCTTTCTCCTTACTCTCCCTCCTTTCTTTCCTTTCTTTCTATTGTTTTGTTTTAATAAAAATGCGAATATTTTATGGTGTTTCTGTCTCTTGCCAAAGCATGTAGTTTTGTGTTACTGGGTGGAATCTCACTGGATAAGGATATGCATTAATATATTTGTTTTACTGTATTTTGAAATCTCTTTAGTTTACGGAGAACTATGGAAGACAGGAATGTTTGAACGCATGTCTCTGCAGACAGATGAAGATGAACACAGTATTGAAATGCATTTGCCTTATACAGCTAAAGCCATGGAAAGGTATATTGATTGATATAAGAAATCCCCAGGAAATCATAGACATTAATTTCTTTGGTAATTTAAAACTAGTAAATCCCAATAATTATATCAGGGTAAAGAGATTAAGAAATGAGATAAAAAATTGAAACAGGAGTGTCTTAAGGTGGATTGTTGGTTTTGAGTAGTTTTCCTACGAAGGCTGAACATGTGAATTGACATGATTGTTTTATTAGGTGGAAGTATTAAAAAAACCATGGGTATGTGAATGTATGTGGGTATGTATATATCTTGCTTTGCTTGTATTTTATTCATTCGACATTTCTTTATCTCAAAATAATAATTCCATTCTTTTCTGGTACAATGCTATAATTAATCGTAAAATTTTAGGCTTGTATTTAATTTTGGAGGTGATTTATTTCAACCTTGTGCAAGGTACATGAATCTCTTTTATGGTATGCTTGACAGACTGTTAGGTGGTACCTGCTAAAGGTCTTCCTGTGGTGGGGGGTACTCACTGTACTGTGAGCTGAACGAGGACAGGGTCAATATCTGTTTTGTTCTCTACTGTATACCCCACCACCTAGCACAGTGTCCGGCACATAGTAGTTATTAATGTATTTTGATAAAATAAAAAATAATTATTTCAAGGATTTTCTTCTTTTAGTGAAACATTTGGATTAGGATGTCTTCTCTTTTGTAGGTTTCTCTAATTTTTAAAACCATTTCCTATATATGGACTTAATATTTCATATTTAGTTTGGCAGTTCTAAGTATGGTAAGATGATTCCTTCTGGATTTGTTCATTATATTTTCTTACTAAAGTACATGATGCTCTGTAGGCTTTCAGTAAATATTAATTAAACGTACTAATAAAGTCTAAGATAACATTATATTTTTTATGTTGATGTGGCTTACTGTTGGCTAATGTACTTGTGATCAGCCAAAGCCCAAGGCCTTTTCATAATATTCAGATGGATTATTTTCTGTTCTCAGACTTTTATGTGATTTCTTTTTGTATGTCTTCTCAATTATTGCTGTTTAGTTTTTCTTGTTTAGTTCATTGTTGCAGTCTTTTTGGATTGTTTCCACTCTTACTCTGTATTCAAAGTATTATTTACTTTTCTCAGTCTTTTGTCTGCTTCTGCTCACAATGATAACCGTGAGGAATTATATAAATCTGAAGAATTTTCAAAAATCAGTGTGATACTACATTATAAGCAATATAATTTTCGGGTTTTTAATACATTCTAATTCTTCAGAAATGTGAAACCATATGTATTATTTCTTAAATTGTTGTTGTAATCAGAACTTTCTCTTCTTCAACCGGAAAAGATAATTGGATATTTTTATTCACTGAGATGTTTGCATATTTTGTCATGAGAAAATACAATTTAGACTTAATAAATACTAATACTTTGGGTGCAGTGGCACATGTCTGTAATTCCAGCAGCACTTTGGGAGGCTGAGGTGGGCAGATAACTTGAGCCCAGAAGTTCAAGACCAGCCTGGGCAATGTGGCAAAACTCTTGTCTCTACTAAAAATAGAAAAATTAGCCATGTGTAATGTCGGGTACTTGTTGTCCCAGCTACTTGGGAGGCTGGGGTGGGATGATTGCTTGAGCCTGGCTGGTTGAGAGTGCAGTGAGCCGAGATTATGGCACTGCACTCCAGCCTACGTGACAGAGTGAGACCCTGTCTCAAACAAACAAACCCAAAAAACAATAGGACCGATAAACTGACAACAATATCCTCAAGGAGGTTATAATAAGATAACATTTTTATTGTTATTTTAAAAGTAAAACATGTACATTGTGAAACATTTAGGAAAATAGAAACTTAAACCCAGCAAACCAAATTCCTACTTATAATTCCCCCTTTTAAATAGTATCAAATAAACTACTGCCACATAACATTAGGATCCCTATTATTGACCCTTCTTTTCTTTGTAGCAGTAGTTGGACTCATTACCTATGTCAGTTATTTATTACTAAGTAACAAAACTCTTACTTAAAATTACCTATATCAGTTATCTTTTACTAACTAACAGATTTAAACTGTGACTTAAAATCACAGCTGTTTATTGCCTAAAATTTGGGGGCCAGGAATTGGGGCAGGGAACACCTTGCTCTGGTCCACAAGACACTGACTGAGGTGGCTCAAATGGGGCTACAGTATCTCAGATAGTGTCACTCATGTATCTTGGGCCTTAGTGCTAGCTCTCTGTTGAGACCCCTCATTTCTTCTCCAGCTGACCTGTTTGTTCATCAAGTAGGGCTTTTTTTTTGTGGAGGGGGGCTACTCTCTAGAAGAATAGCTTAGACTTCCTTTTTTCTTCTTCTTTTTTTGGATCAAGAGAGTAAAACCAGGAGTTTCTAGGCCTATTATGTCCTAGGCTGGAAACTACATAGCACATTTCCAGTGAATTGTGTTTTTCAAAGCAAATAAGATCACTGTGTCAGCCAAGATTTGAGGAAAAGAGCAATATATTGCTCCTCTTGATGGGAGGAGTAGCATGTGTGTACAGGAATAAGAGAAACTGTTGACAGCTGTCTTTGCTGGTGGTCTACTACAGTTCTTCCTCTGGTGGACAATTCATGTCTCTCTACCATGTCATATACACCCAGGCTTCTCAGGATGTTCAGAAATCTTATTTGCTGTGACCCTAGGCTCAAAATTTATTATCTTATGATTTCCATCAAGTTAGGATGTGAATGAGGCTCCTTGAGTGTGGTTCCTCTTTTTTTGGAGGGGAGATGGCGGGGGGAAAGATTCTCAGCTCTGTTGCCCAGGCTGGAGTGCAGTGGCATGATCATGGCTCACTGCAGCCTCTGCCTCCTGGTCTCAAGTAGTCTTCCCACCTTGGCCTCCCAAAGCAATGGGATTACAGGCATGAGCCACTGTGCTTGGCCTCTCTTTTTTTTTTTTTAAAGAGGCAGGGCCTCATTCTGTCACCCAGGCTGGAGTGCAGTGGCACAATTATAACTCACTGTAGCCTTGAACTCCTGGGCTCAAGGGATCTTCCTACCTCAGCTTTCAGAGTAGTGGCCCTACAGGTACGTACTACCATATCTGGCTAATTTTAAAAACATTTTTTTAGAGACGGGTCTTACTTTATTCCTCAGGCTGATCTTGAACTCCTGGCCTCAAGCGAGCTTCTTGCTTCAGTCTCCCAAGTAATGTCTTAGTTACGTATTGCAGCATAACAAATCACCTCAATGTATGTATTTTTTTTCTTTTTTAAAAAAAGTTAAAAACAAACTTTTAATTTTTTGGGTGCATGGTGTATAGATGGGGTACATGAGAAGTTTTGATACAGTCATGCAGTGTAAAATAATCACATCATGGAGAATGGGGTATTAATCACTTCAAGCATTTATCCTTAGTGTTACAGGCAATCCAGTTATATTCTTTTAGTTACTTAAAAATGTACAATTGAGTTATCGACTATAGTCACCCTGTTGTGCTACCAAATACTAGGTCTTATTCATTCTATTTTATTTTGTATCTGTTAACCATCCCCACCTACCCTCTAGCCCTCCACTATTCTTTCCAGTCTTTGGTAACCATCCTTCTACTCTCCATGTCTGTGAATTCAATCGTTTTGATTTTTAGGTCCCACAAATGTGTAGTTTTTCACTTAAACGATTCTATAGTTTGGAAATTTGGTTGGGTTAGTGGAGACAATTTGTCTCTGTTTCATCTACTACCAGTTGAGGCAGGTCGACTTAGGCTAAAGACTCCAAGATGCCCTAGCTTCCTCTCTGGGGCCGTGGTGCTGGTTGTCTTCTTTAGGCACATCAGTTTTCATCTTGGTTCTCATCTGTCAGTGCCTGTTGACACTCACCCTTCAGGACTTCTCAGTTCACATGGTGAATCCTCTCTAGCAGGATAGCAATTGAGCAAAAGAAGAAATTTCCAGCTCTCTTAATGTCAAAGTCTAGAACTGGCACAGCATCACTTATGCCTCATTCTACGGGTCAAAGCGCATCATAAGGCTAAATTCAAGGAGAGGGAACTACGGATGCTACTTTTGATGGGAGGAGTGACATTGAGCATTGAGATGTGAAAAGAATTTTTGGTGATTAGATTCATAGAAACTGTGGTTAAGTAGTTGAGGGATTATTTGTATATAAGTCTGTGTCCCTTCCATGGTAGTTCCATAGTGTTTTCTCCCGGGAGCAGCTAGTCTTCAGTATATCTGCTATGCATTGCACAGTACCTGGTACACAAAAATATTTCCGTAATTGTTGAATGAATTAATAACTGTCTTGCCATTTTCAATACTTTAATTGTTTTTCCAAAAAGTAGATCAAATGTTCTTTTTAAAAAAGAAATTACATTTTTTTAATTTT